ATTTGATTCCAGCATAGCTAGCCTAGCTAGGTAAAAAATACTTGCTGTTCCCAGTTCTGAGATCTGAGCATGCGCGACCACGCCCAATTTGTTGGAGCACATGCTACTTAATTAACAAAATGGCGGCATGAGGTAAGCTGGTGCCATCCAACAGTCACAGTATCACTTCTTCCTTTCTTGGAGAATGATTCTAGGGGACAAGGACCTGCGCATACCCTGTTGGAGTAGAATGGTATAAGAATTAGCCTTCTATCACCAGGTAAGACTGATATATCGACCGACAACTGGATTGACAGGAGATCATGATGATGATGATGATGAAGATGAAAAAAGGTGGCTGAACAAAACGGCCGGTTTGCAGATTTTTGATTTTTCTCCCAGAAAAGGTCTAGAGCCACGCTAGTGGTACCATTGGAGTCCTCTGGTCAAGATAAGGTCCTCTAAGAAGTCTGGTAAGCATAGGAGCTCGTTTTCCTGGTATAGCAAGGCTGCAAAAGTCGTGGCAGCCATTTTGTTTGGGGGTGAATCCTACTTAGTAACGCTACCGCGTTACTAATGATACACGTACAACACTATAGCTTACCCTTTGCTGCTCAGGTATCTAGCAGCTGGTGAATTCCTGGCAATGCTCCCAGCAGGACTGATGTGATCAGTGGTGACACTGTCCCCTAGATTAAGGAGTGGATAGGCTTCTTCAATAGTAGGAACAGGAGGAATATCTACTGTCTAAAAACCATTAAAAAATTAATGATAAGCCACACAAATTTTTGTGGTTAAGCCACATAGTAATCAAGTTATAAAAACTGGGTTAACCATTGTTATTTTTATTTACCATATTTTCAAGGAAAGGAGGATGCTTAATGTAGGTGCTGCTGGTGTCCCAAGGATAAAGGATTGACTGAGGAGCCTCCAGAGCATTCCAACGGGAATTACCCTCGGTTATTTTAGAATACACTTCAGTGAACATTGCAGGCCGGACATACTCTACTTCAACTTTTTGAATATCGGCTCTTAGAGGCCAAATGTCATGGAGAAACACAGGCTGTCCGGAAGGATCCTTACCTTTGAAATGAGAGAAAAGTGATTTAATGGCCCCCTCTCTCTCTTACCTAATGGCTCTTTCTCAAAATCAATGAGTACCGTCCCTGCAATGGCATATGCAATACACAGGAGAGGGGAGGCAAGGTAGTTAGCAGCTGTATGAGGATTGATACGTCCCTCAAAGTTACGATTGCCAGAGAGAACACCACAAGCCACCAGTTCACCCTATAAGAGGACAATTTTAAAAGGATTGTAACTCGAAAAAAAATTTGTCGGACACAGCTCAAACTTGCTACATAGCACAAGGACATCAATATGTATCAGAAAAAATTTGAGGTCATATTTTAGCCAATTTTTGGAAAAAACCATGGGCTATAGTACAGGGTATTTTTCCAAAATTTGGAGTTTTTAAAAAATGACCATAACTCAA